TTATAAATTCCTTCCATGGTGGATGTAAAAATACTTTTCTGTTTTGAACATGTCAAGTAATGAGGAGTCTGGAAGGATGAAACCTCAGGAAACCTAATAGGGTATGTTCAGGCACCAGCTTGAGGAAACAGGCTGTTGTTTTCCCACTCTGTGGAAAGGGGTAAAAAAGAATAAATGAGTTTCTCCTTAGGGATCATAATCAGAACATCTTAGGTGTCTTTGTAGCCCCACTGTACCATGGCTGACTCATTCTAGGTGCCAAAGAATGTACGTTGTATGGACAAAGAAAGGAATGAAATAATCTCACCGACTTCAAAAAATACATCCAATCGCTCCCTTCCTTCATTCCATCTATTTTGTTCAACAAACTTTAGGGAGGCCTATGCCAGTCTCTGGGCCAGGCACATACAGAAACAATCAAGACATGGGTCCTACCCACCGAGGGGTCACTACCTGGTCAAGAGAGACGAGAGGCAAACACTTGTGAGCCCTTGGGCCGGTGGACCTGGGGAAGTCGTGGTCGCCCAATGGTCCCCTAGCACCTAAAGGAGTCTCTCTGGGGAAGACAATCCTGCTGGGTATGAAAATTATAATCAGTTATTTTCTAAATTGGCCACAGGCCTGGGCCAGGGCTAACCCACTGTAAGGAAGCAGCAGCTGGCCATCCGTTTCACTCCTCCTCAGTCCAGGCATACCCACACCACTGCCTGACTGGTGTCGGCAGCTGGTCTTCCTGAGGAAGAGCACATCAGAATGGCTTCCTAGAGGTGGTGGGACAGAAACTGGCTCTGGGAGAGGACCAAGTGCCCAGGCAGGGGGAAAACTTCAGGGCAGAGGGAATCTCAGGAATTGGAGAGCTCTCTGTGGAGCCAGAGGCCATCCTGGGCCCCTCTCATCCCGCGTCCTCTTTTCCAACTCTATGTCCGTGTGCTGTGACTTACCCTCTCTGAACGATTTTGCTTCTTGTGAAATGACAGTAACAATGTAGCAGCAAGGTGGGGCCGATCTGGAAGGTGAGTTAATACATGCGAAGCACCCATCCAAGGATTGGACAACACACAGTATTTGCCAAGTTTTCAGAAAGGAAAGAAGTATGGATCAGAAATAGAACCTACTAGTAATCGAGGTGCTCAGATAAGACATACAACAACTATACTCCAGGAGAACAGGAAAGTTTCACAGAGGAAATGGATGAATTAAGTCCTTTAAAGTTGATTATCTTGTAGGAAGGTGGGATGGCTAGCTTTGTGTGTCACTTTGGCTGGGCTAAGGGGACCAGTTGTTTGGTCAAATACCAGTCTAGATGTTTCTGTGAAGATATGTTTTAAAATGATATTAACATTTAAATATGTATATTTGAGTAAAGCAAATTACTCCATTATGTGGGGTGGCTCTCATCCAAACAGTTGAAAGCCTTAAGAGAAAGACTGAGGTTCCCCAAATTAGAAGGGATTCTTTTTTTTAAGATTTATGTATTTATGTATACAAGAACTGGGGTACAGGCCAGAGGTAGGGGAGTGAGAGGATTCACTAGAGACAGAGTGGGGAACAGAATAGGCAGATTGACTGAAATGCACTGCTGAGGGGAGCAGCAGGCAAGTCAGGAGAGGTCTGCTATGCTGTGTGGGTAGCTCCCGGGCCAGGGATCGAATTCATGCTACAGTGGCTGCAAATAGCTTCATAGTGCTGTGCTTAAGCCTTGCGCCACCAGGGAGGCCCAGAAGGAATTCTTGGAGCAGCAACATAGAAACCCTGCCTGAACCGTCAACTTTATGAAATTTGACCTCAAGACTACATCAACTGGAATTTCCCATCTACCAGTTTTCCTGTGTTGTTGCTGTTATATTTTAACTTGCCAGCCCCACATTTGCATGAGTCAATTCCTTAAACCACTTTCTCTCTCTCTCAATGCATGCATTCATGCATGTCGTGTGTGTTGGTACTGTTTCTCTCAAAAATCAAGACTAATAAGACAGGATATGAGAGAGATTTTGAGAAAAGGCAACATGACATAAATTTATAAAGAATGAGCAGGAAATATTATACACAGGGAAAATAACGGTAATAACTGTTCGGTCTGGAGAATGTAGTGCCTTTGAATAAGAAGGGAAAAAGACAATTATCAAACAAACAATCCAGCTCTCTCAGTTTGGCAGCTTCTGCTTTGTGGTCTCCTTAGTCTCTGCTCCATATTCTATTAAAATAGGCCTTCCAAAGACTCTACACTTTCAAACAGATTTTTTAAGAAATTCACTTCACTGATAACAGCAGGAAAAGCTATTTATTGGCACTTAGCAGAAACTTCCAGGTACTTTTATGGATGGCTTATACCCTCTTTCCAACTAAATTATAAGCTTTCTTAGGTACTCCCAGTGCATAGCCTGCCATTCTAAAGACTTAATAACTGTTGGTCAAATTGAGTTGAGTTGAATATTCTTCCCATGGACCTCAGATTGCTCCATTAAGATGTATTAAATTCCCACAAATGGAATCATTCCAGGCAGCCCCAGGGGATGGGTACTCATCTAGAAACTGCTCTCACCTCTCTTATTTTCCTTTCTCCATCTACACACATATTAAATCCTATTCCTACTCCTTGTTCCCTTTTGTAGCTGGCCTCTTCCCAACAGTCAGCAACTACAAGCACTGGTTGAATGTAGAGTCCAATACTTGACATCTGGTGGTAGAAGAAAGGAACAGAACTTGAGGCTTTTGGTTTCTTGGTCACTTTCTCTATCCCACCTCACCTGTCTGGGCCCCCACACTCAGCCTCCACCCTTTACCATAAATCACACCATCTCCAAATCTCTATTTTAAACATCCTGCCCATCTTCCATTGCCACCACCTCTTTACCTGACGACTCATCCAAGTACCCCTACTCTAGTTACACCTTAAGCTAACAAGACCCCTCTCCCCAGTAGATATATGCACACATGTGTGCTCATGGGCACACACAGTAGGCAAGAAGCCACTCTCAAATCTCCTTCTCCAAATTAGTGCCCCTGGTTCAGTCCTTTAGCTCCTTTCCTACAAATATCCTTGGTTCCCTGCTTCTCTCCTGCTGTTGCAGTCACCTGGCAAAACTCCAACCCCAATGAAATCTTTCAGCCTTTATCATGCCCACACTCTAACAGCCAAAACTGGGTGAAAAAAAAAATCAAACAATCCTACTACTTGAATTTACTTTAACTTATGACAGTTCTTCGATGGACATCACATTTCCCTGGTAAGTCGAGTTCCTTCCCTTTGATGCAGATAAATTAGAAAAATCTTTTAGTTTTTCAAAACTGAGTTTCGTTTTGAGAAACAAGGCAAGAAAATGTGTTAGACTAGGTAGGAATAAAGCAATGCTCTCTGCCCATTTCCATCATGTCCAGAAATTAACTGAAAAGGTACATCTTGTCAATAGACATTGAACCTGCACCTTCTAGCTCTACACTTTTGTCCTTTTCTTTTTCAAAAAGATTTTATTTATTTTATATAAGAACCAGGGGTACAGGCCAGATGCACAGGGGGGTAAGAGGATTCACCAGAGACAGAGTGGGGACCAGAACAGGCAGGCTGATGAAATACACTGCTGAGGGGAGCAGCGGGCGAGACGGGTGAGGTCTGCTTGCCATGTGGGTTTCTCCGAGGCCAGCGGGGATCAAACTGGCACTGCAGAGGCTGCAGACAGCTTCACAGCGCTGCGCTCAACCGCCGGCGCCACCAGGGGAGGCCCACTTTTGTCCTTTTCACTCCACTCCTCTTTACCTACAATACTGTTGTCAAAGCTCCTAGATTTATTCATTAACAGTGTACTATAACATAGGCTTCTCTTATAGGATCCTCAGCAACCTCTTAAGCCACTGATTTGGCTCATTTTGAGGGCCAAAACCTTGAGTACGTATATACAGAGGGATTCATCTAAACACCAAAGCAACAAATATTACCATGATTATAGAATGTCAAGATAGAAGGACAATTACCTGCTATCTTACCTTTCTCAGCAACAATATTTCCTTTAATTCATCCTCACATTTGTTGATGAATCTAATGGTAAATGCTTTAAATGTGGCATTTCAATCTTTTCCCAGAAGCCCCAAAACAGCAATTACAACCCACAAATATTTTTGCAACATTCAATCATATTTTGTTCTCTCAGTTTTGTATCTTTAATTGGAGGGTGTTTTTAGATCTTTTATTTATCCCATTGTCTCTTAAGGTCTTACTGGATCTCTGGCTCCACCAACAAAAACAAACACAAACAAAAACAACAAAAAAAATTCCAAAAGTTCATGTGGCCATGCTAGCTGCCCATCACACATGGGTCTGGTGTGGCCCAGGAATGACTGGCTGGCCTGTAGAACAGGACATGGGGGATAATACTTTCCCCACCTTCATGGATTCATAATCTCTGACCTAAAAACCTCCGCCCTTAGGAGTCCATTAAGATAGAAACGATATTCTTTTAGTGATTTTCAATTTCCCAGAAAGCTAATGGAGGCTATAATCCAATCACTTGGGCCTCACAAGATAAAACATCACTCATCTCATTAAACAAGTAAGGTTAATGGCTACTCACTGTCTGTGGATAGACTTTGGGCTATTAGCTTCCAAAAGTTGGGCAGAACCCAATTTTGCCTGTATTTTCCCTAATTCTTCTGTGATTCAAGTTTCACTGAGTCCTGTTCCTGGTTAGTAATGTGGGGCCACATCCTAAGTAAAGTTCCTTCTCCTGCCCACAATATATTTCCATGAATTCCCAGGGAGTATCTCACTAAGGTTCAAGTCCCATTAGCCCCATGTCGTTTCTAGCCTTCATCTGCCCCAGCTCTCTTTGCTGGTCATTGCCACATCCCCAGGAGCAATTGCCCCCATATACCTCCTCTGCCACTTCTCACTTCCCTTCAGGAATAATGAAGGTCTTGAGGGTTGGGTTGTTTGGCAGATTTTAGTGAAGATGTGAAGAATATGTGTATCTCCATAATCTACTAGAGAAATAAGAAGCAACACTCACTGTTCATTCCCCAATATCTTAGTTTTCTGTGAAAGTTTTTTTCTGTTGTTTGCATCCCCTTTAGTGCTGTCTTCAGACCTATACATGGGCGATGAAGATACAGGAAAGCATAGGAGTAAGGGCTGGAAATTAACTAGGCACCTGGGTATTGGTACAAATGGGGAGATATGCTCTAACTCCAGGGTTCCCATCCATGCCTCTGCCATGCCCCAAGATAAAAAGCTTTGTGGACACTTCAGTAAAGAAAAATCTGGTACATTTTCCTCTTAGTTTTCAGTGCAGACACATTTCTATGAGGGACAGCAATGAGACACTGGATTGAAGACAGAAGTTTAGGGTGCAGACTTGCTGTCTAAGCATACATCCGCACCCCAGGGCTAGAATGATGAAACTGATTGCTCTCAGGCAGCCTGTAGAAGTCAATACAATCCCAGAATCTATTAGGATATAATAAAGACAGAAAAGAGAGAAAACCTCATTTCGCTGTGTGTGATAGGAGAGAAATAGAATAAGTAAAAAGAATTCCAGGTGAAGAATGTTTAAGCCAGAAAGCAAGGTCATTTACTCAAAATCTTTGTGACTATAGCCCTCAAATGTCTTGAGAGCAAAAAAATAGAAACCTGTGTTAGCTGGCTTATACAGAAAAGAAATCTATCAGAAAACCCCTGGGGAGCTGGGAGAATTACCAGAAAGGGCAGCCAACTAGAATTGGAAGAAAGACAAGGACAGAAAAGTGTGTCGTCTCTGACCCCATCTGGGTCAAGCTTTAGGACAGCTTACTTGAGGCACCACTGCCACTGCTGCTGGCATTTTACACCGCCCTGGGACCACTTCAGTGACTGAACCACTACCTGATACTGGCCTCCTTCACTGCCATGGGGCCTCTGGACAAAGGGGGTCACCATACCCAGAAGATTCTGAGCTGCCCTTGCTCCAAACTCAAAGTCTGTGGAGAAGCCCACTGTGGCCAAGTTTGGGCCATAAGCCCCTTCCGGAGTTGCTGAGGGGCAACAAAGGCAGCCACTTGTCCTAACCCCTATTGGGAGATGCTTCCCAACACTTGCCCAATGGCGGTTTCCTCCAGCAAGGGAGAAAGGGATTTCAGGTAATGGTCACCCTATTACTAGTTTTCTAGGGCTGCCCTAACAAAATACCACAGACATTTATTTGCTCACAGATCTGGGTGCTGGAAAGAGGTCGGCAGATTTCGTTTCTCTGAAGCTTTCTTTCCTGCTGCGGCTTCATGTGGTCTTTCTTTTGTTTTTGTTTTAATTTTTAAAAAGATTTATTTATTTATGCACACAAGAGCTGGAGTACAGGCCAGTGATGTCAGGGGTGAGAGGATCCACCAGAGACAGAGTGGAGAACAGAACAGGCAGACTGACTGAAATACACTGCTGAGGGGAGCAGCGAGCGAGACAGGAGAGGTCTGCTGCGCCATGTGGGTTGCTCCCAGGCTGGCCAGGGGATAGAACTCATGCTTCAGAGGCTGTGGATTGTTTCATAGTGTGGTGCTTGGCCCCTGCATCACCAGGAAGGCCCTGTGGTCTTTCTTTTGTGTGCACACCAATCTGCTGCCTGTGTATCCACATTTCCTCTCCTTACAGGGACAATCATTAAATTGGGTTAGGGTCCACCCTTAGAGCCACATTTTAATTTAATCATCTCTTTAAAGTCACATTTTGAAGTACAGGGGTAGTAGGACTTCAGTTGATAAATTTGGGGGTGGGGCTCACAATTCAGTCCATAACACCCTCCTAGATGGAAAATGTCTACTCAAGTGAATAAATACAGAGAAATTAAATGAGAACTAGGTCATACATGTTCAAATATAGGGCTAACTTGGGAGGAAACTTCCCTTAGCAGGAAACCCACAGTTAATTGTAATCAAGCAGCCAGTTTTCTGTCTTGATTCTTAGTCTGATAGACAAGCTGCATCAACGTCATCTGGGGGCTTAGAAGACAGAATTGACCTTCACGTGCCCTCCTAAGTCAGCACCCGCACTTCCAGGGCAGGCCAGTGATTATTTTACACGACACAGTGGGAGACCTTGCCTTAGCAATGTTTGAGAATGGAGGTTTGCTTTTTTGCAGAGGACTGGGGGTGGGTCCACATGCTTCCGTGGCTCTGACTGAACCCTGTCACAGAAGAGGGAACAAATTGCCATAGCTATGCCAACAGGCCTCCTGCCTTAGGACAGGGGCATTATTCAGGCAGCACAGAAATACCTAATTCAGAGTCACCATAACAAGGGTGGTGTTGTTAGGGGGAAAGGATGTCCTGAGATAATCTCATACAGGCTTTGTGGACTCCACCCCCACTCCAGACTAAAGCCATCAGGACATTGGGAAAGACAAATCCCATCACCACCAAGGGGAGGGTGGCTGGGACCTGAGGGTGGAGTTGGGCAGCCAGGTTGGATATAAAAACCAAACACGTGGGCCTTGCTCTCTCTCTGGCTCGCGATCACTTGCCTCCTGGCTTCACCGCTCCTGGCTGGCGGCCAGCTCTCAGAGCGCCATTTTGGGATTCCTGATCGGCGGATTGGGTAGGACTCATTTAAAACTTTGTCTCCCACTTTTCTCCCAGAGCTGTACATTTCCTCATTTCCCTTTCCCTTGTAAATAAACCTTTTATTAACCTTTCACGTGTGCCTGCAGTAGAGCATTGATAAGTCCTTTTAAGCGCGCGGGTGAGGACCCACAGTCAGGCACCCCGTTTTGTATCGGGGTTGCTCTACAACAGTGTGAACCCTCTCAAATCGATTTCTGGGTTGAGGGGGTAAGCTAAGCAATCGTTTGATACTTATTTTAAGACTTTCATGTAGTGGACCTTAAGCAACTCTCTGCCCTTCTACCACTTCCTTGAGCAAGTTTCCTAAGCTCTTTGTGACTTAGTTTTCTTATCTGAAAATAGAGGTAATAGCATCTACATTCCAAGACTGTGGGAGGATTGATTAGATTAATATTTGTAAAGTCTGAGAGCACATCTGCACATAGTAAGTTTTATATAGGCCAGCTATTATTCTTTTTATTTCAGGAAAGTTAAAGTGGTCTCATGTCTTCCATTTTGGTTTTAGTTTATTCTTAGAAGGAGTTAGCATTCAACAAGAGAATTTATTTCCTATGACTCATCTGCCTACCTAAAGATTTTTCCAGAATTTAAATTCCTCTCACAAGTATTTTCAAACTATAAAATTCTCTTTGACTTTAGAACCAATTTTGGAAGCTGTTCCAGTCTGACTGGGGAATAAATTTACCAGTGAAAGTTAAGTTACTGGAATGAAAGAGTCAGCTGGTAGCCTGAGGAAAAGAAGATAGTGCCTTTCTCATTCTAGAGAGGAGAGCTGAAAGGAAAACCGTAGGTTGGGGAAAAAAACAATACAAAGCATTTTATACTTCCACAGAGATGTTCTGGGGGGAGAGAGGGGTGGAGATGGAGAGGGAGAGGGAGGGGGAGAGGCAGAGAGAGAGGGAGGGATAGAGAGAGAGAGAGAGAGGGTGAAAGAGAGAGAAATTTAAAGCAGGGAACTAAAAAAAAGACACACAATTTTACTACGTTGATGTACCAGAAAAGATAACAATTACCCCACTTCACTTATAATATCCATCAGCCCCTCGCCTGAGGGAGAAGAAAATCTGTAGACTAGAAAGTACAAAGTCAACAGTGAAAAAAGCAGCATGCCTGGTGTTCTGGTCACTATCATGGGAAAAGAATTGTGCACCTTCAAATATGGGCTGCCAGTAAGACGGGACATGTGCTTGATAGCATTTACTTTTGTTTTGATCTTGATATCTTGATCTCTGAAACTCAGAAGATAGAAGTATGGCAAATCCATGGTCAGGTGTCCTAAACATTGCTCGAGGAGCAGTGCAGGATGGCAACAAATGCCAGGTGAAAAGTGATCCACTTTCTTACTAGGAGGGGTCTAGATCTGGGAAATTTTTCACTGTGAGAACAGCTTCTGCCTTGTTAGAAATAGGTTGGATCCCTACCAAGCAAGTATAATTGGTGCTTTTAAATTTACAAGAGAATTACTAAGTGTGTCCTTAAAGTCCAGAATGTCTGAGTTTTCTCCTTTTTTTCCCCATTGTTTTTCTTAGAAGTCTGCATTGGTGTCAGCTTGGAAATGGACCAAATCCTTTACTTTGGAAACCAGCCGATTAGTTTTGGAATGGAAAAGGGATTGATTGACTCTTTGTCACTTGATGCCATTACTCCAGTTCTGCCAAGGGACTAGATGTTATTCCCCTTTAGTTATTTACTGACCTTGAAAGCACATGACAGAAGAAATAAAAATCCAGCTTGAGAGAAGGTGACACTGAAACTAATATCCTCTGCATGGAATATTCTCATGGTTTTTTACATGCCTGATTTCTTCCCATCCTTTAGGACTCACTTCAAATATTACCTGCCCACAACAGCCTTCCCAATCACCTATCTACTGTGGATACTCTGTCTGATGGTTAATTTTGTGTGTCACCTTGGTTGGGCATAATTCCCAGATATGTAGGTAGACACTATCTGGATGTATCTATGAATGTTTTGGGGTGAGATTTACATTTAAATCAGTAGACATTGAGTAAAGCAGATTGACCTCTCCAAGATGGGTGACCACATCCAGTTAAGTGCCTGAATAGAAGAGGCGGACTTCCCCTCAGCAAGACAGAATTCTGCCAGCAGATGGCATTCAGACTTCATCTGCACCATTGGCTTTTCCAGGTTCTTCAAAGGACTACCTGCCCCATAAGATTTTGGATTTACCAAGCCTCCACAAGTATTAAGGAGTCGATTCCTTAAAATGAATGTCTATATATATATGCACAATCCTTTGGTTCTGTTTCCCTAGAAAACCATGCTAATATACCTACACCTACACACATCACATTCTTTTCTTCAGCTCTCATTTATGTCCTTCAGAGTCTCATTATAGTATGCAGCCATTTTATTCATTGTTTCATGTTTCTTTAGTGTCTTTACTGAAGTTTCATGAGGGCCAGACTGGTTTGCCTTGTTCGCTCTTCCTGTGTTCTCCAGTCTACTTAGCAGCTGCATGGTGAATGAGTAAATGGGTAAG